TGCTCCCTCCTCTCCCTGTGAACATCCTGGCCGCGTTATCCTTTGCACTGTGTGGTGTGACTAGGCGTGGAAAAGGGTTCATAGATGCGCAGGGGAGTATGGAGTGGCTCCTGAGTCCTTCCTGTCTGCCTCCATTTCTTCTCCCGCATTCCCAGCCGCCACCACCTTTTTATCCATTTTCCTCTTTCCTGATTTCCTTCCTCATTTTTGTTGAAGCACCTCCTCAGAGAGTTTATCATTCAGGATTCATGAGCAGTACTTTTCCTCAACTCTTGAATTCATACATTCTTTTAACCTTAAACACTTGGTTGATAATAGAATTCTAGGCTGAAAATATTTTCTCCTTAGAATTTGAATTTTTGTTTGGGGAGGTGCTCGGTTTGGCCAGGACAGGTAGGTGTGGCCTTGGTGATTGGAGGGGCCTCGGTTTGTATGCATGTTTTCTTTCAGCTCTGGTTTGGTTTTATTTTTAATTGACTGTTTTTTCTCAGTTGGACATATTCTGTGCCTTTGAATTCCTGTGAGACACATTTTCTCATTTTTGTTTTCTTGGCGCTAGTTCTCCTAGACTTCCTGAATCGTGTCTTCTTGCTGGGCTTTGGCTGTCAGCCGTTCCTGTCGTGTTGCTGTGCCCAGCTGCGTGCTGTTCAGGTGGTGATTTCCAAGGCTTGTCTTACTACCCTTTTGTGCTCCTTTTTCTTCAGTTTTTTGTGACATATAAATAGTAGCCTTCCCTCTCTGAGGATATAAAGACTTAAAAGCTTGCTGCTTTTCCTCTGGGGTCATCAACCAGGTTTTTTTTTTGTTTTTTTTTTGGTATCTTGTTTTTTAATTCATAGACTTTTTTAGAGTAGCTTTAGGTTTACAGAAAATTGAACAGAATGTACAGAGACTTCCCATTTACTCCCCCCCATCAACCCCACAGTTTCCCCTTTTATTAACTTCTTGCATTAGTATGGCACATTGTCAAGACTGATTATTCACACCCCTAAGTGGATAGTGGGGCAGGCAGACCCATGTTAATGCAGTTGATCCCTGAATTTGAAATCAGGTGGCGACTTCTAGGCTGGGCCTGTTAATGATTTTATGTAGAATTTGATAAAGCATTTTGCATCAGAGACTTCCCCCTGATCTTCTGTAAGGTGAAGGAATTGGGCTAAAGCATATCCTCTTTTCTTCTTCCATTATTTTGTTGTTTCTAAATTATTTTAGATCTAGACTTTGCTGCTGGTGACATGCTATGTTATCTCTAGTTAAAACTTATCTTAATGGTCTCAACTGACCAGGTAACCTTGAATTGGTCAAATTAATTAGCTGTTGATAGCAATTTTAATTGTGATAGATTCATTTCACATGTAGTTGTAACAAATAGCAGACACTCTCTTTAGTTTCCCCCAGTGGTAACATTTTGCAAAACTGTAGTTTAATAACACAGCCAGGATACTGAGGTTGGTACAGTCCAGCAGTCTTACTCCAATTTACCCATTTTTTATGTGTGTATGTGTCCTGTACAGTTCTGTCTCCTGTGTAGCTTTGTGTGTCCACCAGTAGAGTCAGATACTAAGCATTTGCAACACCACAGGGGCCCTAGTGCTCCCCACTTACAGTCACACCTCCCATCCCTGACCCCTGGTGAACACCAGTCTGTTTTCCTTTGCTAAAATTTTATCATTTCAAAAAATGTTATGTAAATATAATCATACAGTATGTGGCCTTTTGGGATTAGTGTTTTTCTGCTTGTCGTAATTCCCTGGAGACTCATCCAAGTTGCATGTGCATCAGTAGTTTTGTTTTGTTTTGTTGCTGAGTAATATTACACGGTGTGTGTATATATATACACCATGGTTTTTAACCATTCTGTTGAAGAACATCTGGACTGTTTCTAGTTTGGGGCTATTACAAATAAAGCTGCTATAAATGTTTGTGTACAGGTTTTTGTGTGAATGTGTTTCTTTTCTCTTGGATAAATTACCTAGGAGTGGAACTGCTGAACCCTATGGGAGGTGTGTGACAAACTGTTTTCCAAAGTTTCCTTGAGTCCCTTCGTAACCCATCTCTCTCTCCAACTCTACATTTGGGCCACCATCCATCTGCCTGTTATAGATTACTTTGCATTTTCTAGAGTTTCACATAAAGGATGCCTGTATTTTTAGGCCAGTGTCCTTTCACCTAGCAAAATACTTCGAGAATTGTCCCTAGTGGTGTGTATGAGTAGCTCATTCCCTTTATTCCGTGGTTTGGATATACCCCTTTGGTTTTTCCATTCGCCTGCTGATGGATATTGTGGCTATTGATGGATAAAGCTACTATGAACTTCTGTGTGTAAGTCTTTTTGTGGATGTATGTTTTCATTTCTTGTAGGTAGATACCATACCTAGCAGTGGAATTGCTGGGTCATATGGTAAGTGTATGTTTAACTTTTTGAAGTACGACCAAGCTGTTTTAGGTAAGGTACCATTTTACATATTCAACATGTATGAGAGTTCATGTTGCTTCACATCAAATACTTAATACCCATCTTTTTGCTATAAGGCACTCCAGTGGATGTGTGATAGTAGCTTATTTTATTTTGCATTTCTAAATGACTAAGTAGATAAACATCTCATGTACTTTTGACCATCTGTATACCAATGTAGCTATGTCTAATTTATGCCCGTTACATTTCTATACAGTTTTAAAATCAGTTAGTCAGTTTCCACAAAAAAGCCTGCTGGGTTTAGAGTTAAGATTGTGTTGAATCAATAGATCAATATAGAAAGAATTAACATTGAACAATATTGAGTTTCCTAATCCACGAACATAGTAAATCTCTCTTTTTTTTAATATCTTCTTTCATTTCTCTTCACAATGTGTAGTTCTCAGCATACTGGTCTTATATGTGTTTTGTTAAATTTTACTCCTAAATAATTTTATGGTTTTGGGTCCTGCTGTGAACGAAATTTGTATATAATAAAATTTTCTAGTTGTTTACTGCTGTCAAATAAAAATACGATTGATTGTTTGAAATATTAAACTTGTATCCTGTGACCTTGTTAAATTCACTTATCAGTTCTAGTGAGGTTTTTTATGGATTTCTTAGGATTTTCTTTGTGAACAACTAAGTCATCTGTGAATAGGGAGTTTTGTCTTGTTTTTTCCTTGTCACAGTATTCTGGAGCCCTAGAACAGTGTTGAATAGGACTGGCAAGAGCATCTTTGTCCTATTCTAATCTTAAGATAGAAGCATGCTCTATTACATTACTAAACATATTAACTACAGGTTTTTGGTTAGGTATCTTTTATCAGACAGAGGAAGTTCTATTTTCAATATGCTGAAAAAATTTTAAATCATTAATTGGTGTTGAATTTTGCCAAATGCTTTTATGAATCTATTGAGGTGATCATGTGGTTTGTCTCATTTGTTCTATTAATATGGTGAATTACATTGATTTATTTTGAAATGTTAAGCTTGCAATTCTGGTGTAATTTCTCATTGATTATGATGTATCTTGTTAGATTCAATTTGTTAATATTCTGTTGAGGATTTTTGCATCTGTGTTTGTGAAAGTTTCCTTGGTCGTGTCTTCATCAGGTTTGGCCACCTTTGTGAGGTCCTACTGGCCTCCGAAAGCATGTTGGGAAAAGTTCCCTTCTCTGCTTTTGAAAAAATTTGTCTAACATTGATGGCATTTCTTCCTTGAGTATCTGATAGAAAATCTGAGCCTGGAATTTTCTTTGAGGGAAGGTTTTCTACTACAGATTCAGTTTTATTAATGCACATAGGCCTATTTAGGTTTTGTGTTTCATCCTGTATTGCTTTTGGTAAACTGTATTTTTCAGGATGTTTGTCTGTTTCATCTAATTTTGTGGTGTAAAGTTGTCCATAATATTCTCATTATCTTTTTTGTGCCTGTAGGGGCTGTAGTGATGGCCGCCTCTTTAATTCTTCATGATGCTCATTTCTGTTGTTTTTTCATCAGTCTGGTCAGGTATTAATCAATTTTGTTGTTTGCAAAGAACCAACTTTTGACTTTGTTAAAATTTCTCTCCTTTATCATTTTCCTATTTGTTGATTTCTGCTCATTATTATTTTCTTCCTTCTATTTGTTTTGGGTTTACGTTGCTGTTCTCCAGCTTTATGAAGTTGTTTGTACCTTTAGTCTTGATTAATATTTTGTATTTTGTTATTCAATTCAAAATATTTTCTAATTTCTCTTTTGATTTCTTCTTTCAACTACATTTTATTTAGAATGTATTATTTAATACTAAATATTTGAAGTTTTCCTAGATATCCTATTGTCAGGTTTCTAATTTCATTCTATTAGTCAGGGAATCTTATATGTGTATGATTTCAATCCATTTAAATTAGGCAAACTTTAAGGCCCAACATGTGCTATGTCTTGGTGATTTTTTAAAAGTATATTCTGTAGATGTTGGGTCTCATAAAAGTATCAGTTAGGTCATGGTTGATAGTGTTCTTCAAATTATCAATGTTTTTCCCGATTTTTTTCCCCCTAATTCTGTAAATTTCTGAGGCAGGGTGTTGAGATTTTTGCAGCCGTCTGTGCTTGCTCCGGGTGTTGAGGCTCTGCCTTAAGGTGCGTCTCTTGCCGTCAGTGTATAGTTGGGTCTCACGTTTTTATCTGTTCTGAGAGTCTCTTCCTTTTACTGGAGTTTTTTGTCAAGAGTTTCACTTCATTTTTCTTTCAGCTTTTTAGCTCTCCCTCTTCTTATTTGTTATTTAGAGGTTGTTCTGGGGATCACAATATGTAATCTTGGTTTTTACAGTCTGCCCAGGGTGGCAGTGTTGTAGCATCCCACGCAGGTACCAGTTTTGCCCCTTGCACCAACACGAGGCCACGCCTCACACTCGTCATGCTGTACCCGAGGGTCCTGTGCCTGCACATCAGAACACCTGCGAGCAGTGTTGTGGTGTGGTGTTCTGCTTAATGAACGAGATCCAGCAGCTCCAGTCCTGGGATTCTCACCCCTCCTTGGTGCTCTCCCTGTGTTTCTCGTAGGTTAGCCGACCATGGCCGACCAGAGACAGCGCTCACTCTCTACCTCTGGGGAATCGCTGTACCACGTTCTTGGGCTGGACAAGAATGCAACCTCGGATGACATTAAAAAGTCCTACCGGTAAGAGACCGTGCTGCCAGGGGCCTCTCGTGCCTCGTGGTTCGATCTGCTTTACCAGGAGCCACTGTGTGTGTTTCCCTGCCCAGCTCAGTATTGAACCAGTAACCAGTCCCTTGCATCCTTGTGTGTGTATGTGTTACCTTACAGCTTAAAACAATTATACTGATAATGATGCCCTCTCCTCGCCCTGTCATGGCCTGGTCCTCACAGACGGGTCAGTGAGCTAGCGGGAAGAGGCGTCATCATCAATGGTAGATGCCCCAGGTGGCCCTCTCTGCTCTCAGCGTGTGTAACTACTGACCACCTGTGAAAATGCCCCAGGACAGCCCTGCTCAGCCCTTTGGCTGTCAGATATGCAGTTAGACTGTTGGGACGCTAGAGGTCAGCAGAGGTCGGTAGGGTTGCCTCTGTGCTGCTGGAAGTCGCTGGAGTGACTACCCTGCCAGGCAAGCCCTCACCCCACGGCCTAGCCCTCCGGGCAGGGCAGGGCAGGGCAGCAAGGCCTCCCCTGACGTGACCGCACACATTTCTTTTGGTCTTGATGAGGCTGAATTCTGTGGAAGCTTGAAAAGCAAGTTGGATGGGTGGCCTTTTCACGGGGCCCTCCATCCACCAGGGCAGTGCGCCCAGCTCAGCCAGGACACGGTTTTGGTTTGCAGGAAACTTGCCTTGAAATATCACCCTGACAAGAATCCCGATAACCCAGAGGCTGCAGACAAGTTCAAGGAGATCAACAACGCGCACGCCATCTTGACAGACGCCACCAAAAGGAACATCTACGACAAGTACGGCTCTCTGGGGCTCTACGTGGCTGAGCAGTTCGGGGAAGAGAACGTGAACACCTACTTTGTGCTGTCCAGTTGGTGGGCCAAGGTGAGGAGGGGCAGCGGCACTGGGCCCTTGGGTGTGGGGAGATTACCTCATGCCTGCTGGCATTTCAGATCCTGCAGCATCAGTGTGTTTGATGCAGACACTCTGCCATCTGAGGAGTGGTTCTGGGCACACGGCAGCCTTCTCATCCTGCGTAAACATGGGCAGAGGCGTCCGTCTCCTGCTGCTGCATGTAACCTGCCCGCGGCCAGCCGCGGTGCCCGCAGCAGGATCTCTGAGCCGTTTGTAGCCACATGGTCTTTTCCATGAGTCACTGTGAGTCACTGAGAAGACAGATGAGGAAGCAGGCATTTCCGTCTCGTGGGTAGGCTTTCTGCTCTGAGGGAATACTTGTCTGGACTCTTAATTCGAGAGACTTCTGACATCAGTTATTTCATTTTTTGCCATTTCACCTTTTCCTTCCTTTATTAAAAGCACGTGCTGTGTGTGAGGCCAGAGGTGAGACGGGCTGTGGTGCTGAGCTGTCGGGGCCCTCGCGCTCGCTGGTCAGCCCTTGACCCTGTCCCCTGCAGATAGCTGTCCTTCCCGCAGTGATCTCGCCCTTCCTCGTTCTCCCGTTTAAGCCCGTTCTCGCCGCGTGGCTCCGGGCGGGAGCCCGCACAGAGGCGCTCGGTGGGGCGCGGGGTGCTCGGCCTCACCGTGTCCTCCGCGCAGGCCCTGTTCGTCGTCTGCGGGCTCCTCACGTGCTGCTACTGCTGCTGCTGCCTGTGCTGCTGCTTCAACTGCTGCTGTGGGCGGTGCAAGCCCCGGGCGCCCGAGGGCGAGGAGGCCGCCTTCTACGTGTCCCCCGAGGACCTGGAGGCGCAGCTGCAGTCGGACGAGCGCGGTGAGTGCCGGCCGCGGGGCCGCGAGCGGGGCGCAGCCGCAGAGCCCTGAGCCGCGTGCCCTTCTTGTCAAACAGGCGGGCCCTGACCCCGTGCGGGCAGGCGGCGGCGGGCTTGAGGCGGGAGCGCGGACGCCGAGGTAAACGGGCGCGGGCCGCCGGCGGGAGACAGGACGGCCACGGTGGGCAGGCGGCCTCCCCGTGCGCCCGGCGCGCCCGCCCAGAGCCGCGACCCGCTCGGTGAGCGCCTCGTGTGCCCCTTTCCAGAGGCCGCGGACACGCCGATCGTGGTGCAGCCGGCGTCTGCCACGGAGACCACGCAGCTCACGGCCGATGCGCACCCCAGCTACCACACCGACGGCGGCAACTGAGCCCAGGGGGGGCCGTGAGTAGAGGCTCCGTCAGCGCCGGCCACCTCAGCCTCAGCGCCATGAACTGTGGTCACGGGGCTGCGGGGAGGCCGCTCCGGCTGGAGGAAGGGCGGCGTCCACCCACCGGGCCGCGCGGCCCCTCCCACCTCCGTGCCCACCATCCGTCCATCCCGACACATGAAGTACGTAGCATGCAGTATTTAAAGCAGTTTAGCTACGGTCTTCCTCTGTTTTTCTTTTCTAATAGCATGTTTGGGGTTACGTTCCATGTCCGTCTGTGTTGTGGACGTGCTGCGGTGTGACAGTCACCCAGATGTGGGGCCGCCTCCGGCTTTCCGCCAGGTTGGTGCCGTGAATGGAGCCCAGCTGCATGGTCCCCTCCCAGCCAGGCGTGGGCAGGAGGAGTGGCGCCTTCCTGTGCTGTGGGGCCAGAGGCGGTGCTGCCTGGCAGGAGCTAGGGTCCCGCCTGCTCCGGTGCTCGTCCGCCAGAAAGGAGCTGGCATGCCCCCCCCCAGTGCCGTCAGCATTCCCATGGTGTTCACGTCAAGGACAGTGCGCGACACCTGCTCGCCCTGTGTGCTGGGCCTTGTGGCAGAGTTCTCCTTTGGATCAGCTTGTGAAAAGTACAGGCGGCTGTCCTGACTCTGAGACCACTATTCTCTGCCTGGGCTTCGCCGAGGTCGCCTCACCACTTGGTCCTCTGAGTATGTGCCCTCACCAGGCTGTGGGAGGGGTTCTTCCATGTCCCTGTGCTTTCCCCAGGCCACCAGCTGGGTGCTGGGGTTACTTTCTGTCGGTCTTCTCCTGTTGCGTGACCCTCCACATTCCTCAGGCCCGCTGTGGCCTCTCTAATCCTTTTTGGACCTCTAAGAACTACAGGCAGTAACAGTGCCCCAAGTAGTCTAGTCAGAGGGGCTGAGGGTTCAGGCACTGCTGGCCTGTGGCTGCGTGGCCCAGGAAGCATGTGGGAGGAGATCGGTCCATTCTCTGCTTCCTAAGCCCCTCCAGCCCACCCCCTGCTTCCTTCGCCTGCCCCCTTCGGCCATTGTGGGTCAGGCAGAGCTAGAGGCATCAGGTTCCTGGAGAGGGACCAGCCTGGCCAAAAGCTCCCTTGTGGCCTAGGAGGCCTGGTGCCCTTGGCTTGTCCAGAAGCCAGACCACAGAATCCCTGTCAGCTCTGCCTCAAGGGCACCTGGGAACTGGTGGACAGTCAGTCTTGTGTGAGCCCCAGACCCTGTGGGCGATACCCTGCTGTGGGGAAATGTGGGCTTTGATGTGCCAGCCCCGGGTTTCAGAGCAGCCCCACACCCCCAGCAGCACTGAGGGTGGGACGGTTCCCTGCTGGACCTGCACTGGACCCCGGAGACCTGAGTGGCCTGGGTGGGCCTGGTTTCTGCAGAATGACCTCAGTGGCTGCCTTTGAGCACATCGTGCGTTTCCGGGAGACGTGAGGGGCAAGGAGAAGCCCGCACAGTGGCGTGTCTGGCTCAGGTGCACCAGAGCACGTTCCTGAAGCCCAGTGTTTCCCCACTGCCTGCTCACCCACTGCCCTGGCCTGCCCACCAGGGTTGTGCACAGAGCAGGTTCGCATTGACCAGGAAGGGGCTGGAAGGGACAGCTATGTGTACAGGATGTGGACTGCCTAGGAAGTGGTCCTGGTGTGGGGGCGCCTGCCTGGCTCTGGCAGAGCTGCTTCAGCCAAAGTGGCACAGGCCCCAGCCAACCTCTCCTACAGGCCAGCACCAGGTCCTTGGGCAGCTTTTTGGTCCCATTTGTTTGTTTTCTGTTCGTTGAAATGATCATGAAGACATTCAATGAGAGGAAAGAAATGTGTTGTGATATTAAATTAGAAACAGTTGGCTAAAATTGGATCTCTTACAAAGGGATAAGAAATTCATTGTTTGGCTTCTAATCAAGGGAGTAGGCAAGACACTAATGTCCCAAGTTCAGTAGCAGCCAGAACTGGGCCTGAGATGCAGGGTGATGTCAACTTTTGTGATATTTCTGGTTATAGGAAGTGAGTTTTTCCCCAGAATGGCCAAGAACCAAGTTCAAGGGCAGGGCTTCAGGTGGAAGGCTGCCCCCTCTGGTGGCTGGGTTCTTTTGGGGTTACGGCCGCTCTGATGCCAAGAAACCCCACAGCCTGTCACTTGTGTCAAAGCAAGTCCCTTGCCAGGTGTCTTCCAGTTGGTTGCAGAATCTTATTGATCATTTCCTGAAAACGTTGTAACTACCCTGGAGGCCAAGGTGGCATGGAGAAAGGGGGGTGGTCTGGAAGTTTGCTGCACCCAGTTACCTGTGGGATTCTTAAGAACTAAATAAGTCATGACAGTGACGATGGTCTTCAAGGCAATAGTAGGGCTTGCCAAGGCCCAGGTAGCCCAGGAGTCAGACGGCAGGCCTGGGCTCCCCCGCGTCTGATCCCGAAGGCATTTCCATCTCAGTGGTTCCCGAGCAGACTCCCTCACAGAGTTCACTGCTCTTGCTCTCAGGCCCTCATCTTGATTCAAGACCAAGACCCCCTGGCTTCATTTCCCTTTCTCCCACTTAGTTGTATCATTTGTTTCCCTGGTGAGCAGAGTTGTGGAGTCAGGAGAGGCATCCCCATTCGTGTGCTGAGTGGGGGCAATCCTCTACCTGCTGTGGGGTGAGGGGAGCGCCTCAGTCCCACTCTGGTGCTGCTCAGAGCTGAGGCCACGTGTGGCCAGTGCACTAGAAAGCCTGTTCTGTTTCCTAAAGGGCAGCACTGGCCCCAGGTAGCCTGTAGGAGGCATGTGCGACTGCCGGGCGTCTGAGACCTGCTGCTGCGGACTCCTGTGTTGCGCTCAGTGATGTGGGCTTGTCTTCCTGTTGGCTTTATTCTCTCTTCAAACTGCTTTAGATTCACCACTCAGTATGTAAGCCTTTCTAGTTCTCTGTTGTCGGAGGGGCCAGCACCCGCAGGGACCTTTAAGAGAAAGAAGCCAGCGTGCATGCTGTGGCCAGAGCAGGGGACATCTCCGTGCTTTTGCTTTCTGGGCTTGACAGCAAGGCTCCTGCTCTAGGAAGGTTCCTGCATGTTCTAGCCATGGGCAGTCTGCTCCAGGCGAGCTTGTGCTGGAGGAGTGCCTGCCAGCACAGCTGGCCTCCCTGGCACCTGGCGTGAGGCCTGCACTGAGGGGTGGGCCCCACCTGTTCCCCCCTGGCTTTCAGCACATCCTGCAAGGGCCGTGAAAAAAGTGACGCCATTCCTTTCTCAGTGTTCTGAGCTGCGAACCATGTGACACAGGACTGGCCTGTTTCTGTTATTTTGGTTGTGAATCATCCTGTGGAATTGGCAAAAGCAACATTTCCACTGTTCTTAGCACGGCGGGCGGTGTCTGTACTGGAGGTGTGTGGGCAGTGGGTATATCTCTGTGCGTGTACATATGTGTATATGTAGATACCACGCAGCAGGCACAACTGCTGCAACCAGTACAATAAAAGTTGGCTCCAAAATGGCCTGTGGCCTCTGGTTTCTTGGTGAGTTGGGGCAGGGACAGGTCTCAGCAGGCCCTCTTGCCAGGCACACACGGCCAGGTCCACCCTGCCGTGTCCCTAGAATTTGTATGGATGGCTGGGCATGGCGCTGAGCTCACTGCAGTGGCCTGTCCCCACCACGTCAGCCTCTGCAGGGTAGGGTACCAGGGTAGGGTGGAGACTGATGTGGAACCTGTCCCTGGGCCCTCTCGGGTTGCTCGCCTGACCCAGAGGGGAGTGCCCCAAGGTGGCTGGAAACCCTTTCCTCCCTTGGAACACTGAAAGTTTTTCTAAGCATCAGGTAACAATCATGAAGTAACAAAGCTGCAAACTAAAGGGGTCTCTGTGTTGCCCTGGGAGGGGTCCATGAAGGGGTGCAGGGCAACAGGGACTGCACAGTGCCATCCTCCATGAAGGGTTCAGCCCAGGGTCTTACAGGCAGCACCTTTTGATAGACTTTCTGTCCCTGGAAAATGGGGTAATGTTTCAAGCTAAGGAGGGGCAGCAGTTTACTGAAATGTATACACATTGTTTTTACAAACTGATTTAAAAAGCATGGACAGCAAGTGTCTATGCACCAGTTTTGTCCTGTATTGGAATCCGCGAGTTAGCATGCCTCTGGCTCTGACTCCCACACGCACACCTCAGGGCCAGGCTGGAGGTTAAGGTGGCTTACCATGGGTGTCTCGTCTCATGTCCAAATATTGGCCTAAAATAAAGAAAACTGTTGCAAAATAAATGTTTTCACTGCAAACCAGGTGTGTGTCGTAATGATCCTTGCAGAATCCTGTTCTGGGGAGTCTGGCACCAGAGAGGCAGCTGACCTGGGAGGCCCCTCCTGAGTCCGTGTGGGGCCGGGACCTCACTCCTACCTGCCCAGTCCGTGTGGGTGGATGCCCCCCTCTTTGATTCTCTCTGTTTATCTCCATCTTCTAAATACTGATTGGAGTGAAGAAAAGCAGTATGTGAGCTAGGAGATCCTTAGGCCAGGGGCAGCTTGGACCTCATGCAGCATGTCTGGGCAAAACTGTGGCTGACAGTCCTGGTCCCACAGTCTCCTGCCCACCTGGCTGACCATCACTAACTCCTCCTGCCTCAGCCTCCGGACCGTCTCTGATGCCCACCCCATACGACAGCACCGCCCTTAATCCTGCTGCCCGTTAGTGGCCATCTGGCTGGAAGAGCATGCCAGCCCTGGGTCTGAACCTTTGGCTGGCAGCACAAGGTAGGAGGGGGTGACAGACTGGCCAGCCCCTTCTGTCCCTTGGGGCAGTGACCAAATGTGGTCACACCAAGACCATTGCTGGGCCTGTGCTCTGTGCTGAACCTCAAGCAGCTCCATCCATGTCCCTTCTGGTCCTGGCCAGTTGGGGATAGGCTTCCTAGGGCTGTCCCACTTCCTACCCCACTCAGGACATGAGTGTGAGGTACACCGCAGCTCATGCCTGGACACCACCATTTCATCTTCCTGGGTTGTCTCCAAGCCGGTGGTACCCCAGCACTGTACCCTGACATTGCCAGGTAAAGCCCATCCTCCGGATGTCATGGTGCGCAGTCATACCTGGACATGGTGAGGCCATAGCATGAGGTGTCTGCCCAGATGCTGCTCAGTTTCCGCCCCCTGGAACAAGAGTCTGTCTGGTCTTCGGTTCGTGCAGATGCTACCTCTGCCTCAAGGCATGTGTGTCCCTCCATGTTCGTGTCTGGCTGTGTGTGCCCTTGTGCCCGCAGTGGGGCAGGTGGGGCCCTGCCGGTATGTCTGGAGCTGACCTGAGACTCCGGCTCCGGGACCCTGGTGCTAGGTAGGAGAGGTCGCCCGGCACGGGCCCGTGGATCCGAACACCTGGCCCAGCAGGGTCGGCAGCAGCGGCAGACTCCAGAGAGGCCGGCCCAGGCCATAGGCGTGCTTCCTGCTGATGCCCCCGCATACCTGTGGCCCCTCTGGGTGGGGTGCTGTGCCCCTGGTCTTAGGTCAGGGAAGAAAATTTTTGAAAAAATTAAAGCAGCATAAAAATACCAAATGTAATAAACATGTTGGAGCAAACGAAGTAGTTTGCTTTAGATTTTCCATTAAAGAAAAAGTCACAGGAAAGACCAGTTTGTGCCTCTCTGCAGCCCAGTGGTGGCCGCTAGCCTTTTTGAGACCATTTCTGTCCGTGGTTTTAAACCCTGCCTACCAGTGTCAGCATCCATAAAATAATATACACCCTTGGTTTCTGAAGTTTTGCATACATTGTTCTGCACTCTAGTAACTCAGTATGAGTTTTAGTCGACATAGGTTTTTAAAATCAGCCTGTGTGGCTGTGCCTCGGTCGTTGTTTATTTTAACTGCTGTGCAGTGCACACGGCGGGACTTGGTCGCATCGGGGGCCGCCGTGCTGGAGACGCCCATAGTGCTGGCTTCCGGCTGTTGAGCTGTCGCCCCGGGCCCACCGCGCGGCCAGCTCGCGTCTCCGCGTGTTTCCTTGAGCTTGGGCGCAATCCACGCATACTCTCAGGTCCCTATGAGGGATTCTTACAGAGAACATGAGAGCGCGCCACGCCCGCCGACGTGTCCAGGGTGGGGCAGCAGACCTGCGGCCCCGCTCCCGGCCAGGGCCACGACCCCCGCCCGCACCCCGCCCCGGGGACCCAGGGCCACGGGCGCCTCGGGGAGATGGCGAACGCCTCCCGAAGGCCCTTGCCCTCCCGCGCGCAGTCCCGGAACCCTGGGCTCCCAGCGCAGGTCGTGGTCGCCGCCCGGCGGCAGCCCGCCTCTCTTCCTTCCTGCAGAGCCGGGGTCCGGGGAGGGCCGGGGGCGGGGCCGCCTGCCCAAAGCCAAGCACGCCGCGCATCAGGCGGCGCGGAGGTGGTTCGAAGGGACCAGCCGCCCGCAGGTGAGCGCGGGGCTGCGTCCGGAGGCGCCCCGCGCCGGGGCCCCAGGCAGCCTAGGTCCTGACCCAGAGGTGAGTGGCCCCGGCGGTGCTTGGCTCCGAGGACTTAGTCGTGGGCCCCACGGCCTGAGGAGGCCTGGCTGGGAGCGGGGCGACGGGGACTGGACCGCGGAGGGCCGGCCCCGGAAACCGTGTCCCAGGACCCCGCGGGATGCGCCCGTCCTCTGTGTGAGGTGGCTTATTCCAGGAACTGCAGGATGACCGGGAAGTGGCGGTCGCAGAATGGGTCCCCCCAGCGGGGGCAGGTGTCTGGGGACACTTGGGGCTACATCAGGCCAGGCACCCAGAAACCCAGGCATCTTGCAGGGTGACTCCAGGTGAGGCACCACGAGGGGCACAGTCACTCGCTAGGGCATCTAGCACTCCAGCCCATATTGCTGACATGTGTAGTGGGCATTGGTGACCTGTTCAAGTCAGCATGACAGCTGTATGTGCCTAATGCTGTGTCTTGGCCCTGGGTCCTGGCAGGGACTCTCCAAGCTTCTCCAGCCAGGCCAGGGCATCCTTCATGGCTGTGTGATAGCCACTGGGGAAAGGGTGGCACCTCTCAGGCTGATGAACCTGAGATTGACCCTGGAGACTCACCATTCTCAGGTTGGACAGTCCTGGAGGCACTGCCCAGAGGCAGCTGGTGGAGGCCCAGCAAGTACCTTTCTCCTTGAGGACCCTCACCTTGAGTGTCACAGGAACTTGTGGGTAAGTGCAAGGAGGGCTCCTGGTCCGCACTCCGTACGTCCCCCATGGTTCTGAGGACAGCTCCAGGCTGCACCCATCCCACAGCTCACCCCCACCTCTGCCAAGCCACCCGCTGTTCACTCCCACCCCTGCTGTCCCCAGCCTCTGCTGGGCTCACAAGAGCCTGGATGCCTCAGAAGGCAGCACAGGGCCACATGGCTCCCAGCCAGAGGGTTTCCTGGAGAGGTGCTCACCCATGCCTGGGAGGGGGGCCACCCCACTTTTCTCCCCAAACTAGAAGGAAGCCCCTGATGTCTCCATCAGCTGTGTGGAATGCTGGTCCCAAGGAAGTCTTGGACCTTGTATCCTGCTCCTGTTTCTGGCCTGGGAGTCTCCTGGGGACCTAAAGAATTGCCCCTTCTTCCCATCGGCACCTGAAGACCCTCCCCCAAAGCTGTTTGGAAGGTGACCCGTTTCTACAAGCCCAGGGCTCTGGCAGGAAATGGGCCCAAGAACTTGGGGCCTAGCCCCCTCAAGCTGCCTCAGAGGAGGGGAGCCCCAGCCTGAGGAGATGCAGCTTCTAGTTCTGGCCTCCTGCCACCAGGCTCTGCCCAGCAGAGGGAGGGCACTATGATCCCCCCAGGTTTGACAGCTGAGTAGTGTGGGGGCAGCTGGGCGCACTCCTGCCCAAGCTGCATTGTACACGTGGGTGTGCATGTGCACACCTCTGTGCTGGTGCACATGGGATGTGTATGAATGGTGCTTGTCAGTCCCTAGCTGGACTTTGGGAGGGCTCTCAGAATGACCCAGGTCCTGCCTGGGTCCGCATGAACTGTTTGCTCCATTCCTCATCTAGGAAGACCCAGCTGACAGAGTGAGGTCTTCCCAGCCTCACCGGCCCACTTCACCCCCTGAGCAGGGCTGGATTTGCTACAGCCTCCAGGTCCCAGGACATAGCATGAAAAGAATAAATGAATGATGGCGATACGGGAGGGGTCCACTCACCGGACTGGGGGAAAGCCCCTCCTGCTGACCTCTGGGCTCTGTCAGTCCTCTGTCTCTGGTGCCTGGCACCTCTTGGACAAGCCTCCTGCCTTTATCTGCCTGCCCTTGGCCTGGCCCCCACCCAGCAACTTCCTGTCCACGCCCCATGACAAGCTTTTCCATGACATGGCCTGTGTGAGGTGTGGGAAGCCAAGACCAGGAGAGCAGGGAAGGCAAAAAAAACAGGCATGGAGGGTGGAAGGGGCTGGGGGGGCTGGGGCGCTGACGGCCCACCTGCAGCAGCCCAAGTATTGGCACTGGTGCACATACCTCATCCAGGCCTGCCATACATGGGGCTGTCCGGAGGGGGCCAGGTAAGCCTGCTTTCACCCTCAAGCCCAGAAGCCATAAAGGCAACGCTGGACATGGGCCTCTGGCTCTGAATAGCACAGTTGACCCACTGAGGCTCTGGCCATCTTCCCTGCAACTGGGGCTCTTGGTAGAAGCAGGGACCAGCCTGTCACTCCCTCCTACAGCCACCCACCCACCCACCCACACACAGGTTTCCACTGGGCTCCCTGATGGTACAAATGTGGTGGTGGTGGTGGTGGTGGTGGTGGCAAGGGGGAAGTGGCTGCAGAGGCTGCCTTTTGTGAGACCCAGAGCCCTAGGTCCGGGCCAGCTGCCACCAAGAGGCCCATTGGGCAGAGCTGGTTGCTGTGGGTAGGCCCCAGTTCTGCTCTCCTAAATTTGGCAGAGCCTAACTGTAGGAAAAGCCAAGTGTGAGAGCAGAAATGCCTGTGTTGCCAGGAGGGGCAGACACTAATGAGAACCCAGCAGGGACCAAGGTCCTCAACAAGTCTCCCGTCCTTGGTAGCCCTCCTACGCCCCCAGCTGACAGGTCACACCTTCGTTTTCCTGAAGGTTTACTTCTTTTACAAAATGCATAAAATAAGTTGTGTTGGTAACATCTTTTTTAATTAAAATAAGTTAACATCTCTGTATTTAGTAAGCACAGGCCAGGAAGCAGGAGGAGGCTGGTGGATACCAGGTGGGAGGTTCAGGCAGGCCAGCTAACTCGTGGAGGCCACTTCCTCCTCATCGCTGCCTTCAGGGACAGCGTCTGTCCCAAAGTAGCGGTCGCCGAAATTACCTGGAGAAAGAAGCAGGCTGGTGTGGTGGGGACTCTGGCCAACCCAGCTCCCCCACACCCTACTAACCAGGCCAGGGCAGCCTCACCAATGCCGGGAATGATGCGGAACAGGTCGTTGACTTGCTTGTCCACGGCTGTGGTGATGATTCTCACTCGTGGGAATGCGTAGGCCACCGAGTGAACACCCATCTCCGCCATGAGCAGTGAGAGCAGAAAGATCTTGTCCTCAGGCACGTCGTGGTCCTGCGGGCGAGCCGCAGGTAAATCCCCACCCAGCCGGGCTGCCCACGCCCACTTCGGACACTCACCAGGAGCACACGCACGGCCATCATGGCCGCAGCGCCTGTGGACACAGTGCAGTCCATTAAGATCACGTGGTCGTCGCTGATGTCCTTGGGCAGCCGCAGGTAGTGGAGCTGCAGCAGCCACAGAGTCAGGCTAGCCGAAACCTAGGGCCATGCTTCGTCCTCCCCAGCCCCGCACCCCCAGGTTCTGCCCCGCACCTCGGGCTCCCCGGTGAGCTGGTTGGTCTGGATGAGGATGGTGCCAATGCGCACATCTTTGCACACGGCCCGCAGCGCCGGCTCCATGGTCTCCCCCGCCCGCAGAATGGACACGCCCGTGATCTGGGGGAGGGGCAGGCTGAGCCGGCCGGAGCTCCGCCCCCAGGCCGCCCAGTTCCGCTCCCGGCCGCGCCCCGGCCGCTACCTGCTTCCCCGCGTAGCACTTGCCCGCGTAGTCCTGCCCCTGCGGGGTCTGCACCACGCAGTCCTGCGCGGAGAGCGGGTGGGGCGCTCGTGAGCACAGAGCCAGCCTCCGCCCCCGCGCCCCCCCACCCCGCCGCTCGGCACCTGGAAGGGCAGGAAGGAGAGCGCATGTTCTATGAGCAGCCGCATCAGCCTCTTGGAGTAGAAGATGAATTCATCGCGGCTCGTCTCCTTGTCCCTGCGGACCCGTCGGGCTTTAGCAAAGGCGCGGGGAACCGCCAGGCTGCCCCAGCCCCCCAGGAAGGTCCTCACCTGATGATGGTGTGCATGCCGCGTACCTGCGGCGTGCTCTTGAGGACACTCAGCGTCCGGGGCAGGGGGTGGCACTGGTGCGCCGAGGCCAGTGCAGCCCTGGGGACACAAGTCGACTGGGGACTCAGGAGGGGCTTTCTTTTCCCAGAGCCCCACCCTCCCACTCCCGACAGTGTTAGGGACAGCGGGGTGTGCAGGGTGGGGGCCGCCTCCTCGTGGTTGATCGGGGGGACCCCACCCTTTAGCAGCCAGGCGAAGGTTAAAGGATATGGTGGAAGGTACGGAGACGACCATCAGCAGGAAGCGAGGAGCTGCGGCGTGAGCCCAAGTACGGGTCGCCCGCGCACGCTCAGAGGAAGCAGAAGGGGCCCCACAGTGGGAAGGTGGGCCTCACACATGCAGACGCGTCCCAGCCCCCAAGACTCCCTCCGGCAGCTCGTCCCCAAACCCAGGGCACTTCTCGCCGGAGGAACAGCTGAGCCTTGGCGCCAAACCCCCGCCCTGACTCTTCACTCTAGGTGACCGCACCCCCTCAGGAAGGGAGCCAGAGCCAGCTCGGCGCCGCCCCCGCACCCCCTGTCTGGAGTGGGGAGGTGGGGGAAGCTGGCAGGGGGGCGGGGCATGCGGAGCACAGGAGGGAGCCCGGGGAGAGGAGGGCCTGGGGGCGGGGCATGCGGAGGCCGGGGCCAGGCGAGCCTGGGGCTTGGGGCCCGGGGAGGAGCCCGGGAGGGGAGGGTCTGGGGGCGGCGCATGCGGAGCGGCCCCCAGCGGGCAGCACTCTGTCCTCACATATCCCAGCGCAGCTTCCTCTGCTCGCCAGGTGAAGAGGTGAAGAGTACGTTCAGGGAGGGAACAGGGCAGGAAACCCAAGGGTTTACAAAGAGGGAAAGAACAAAAAGAAAAAGACCATTTAGCGGGGGCCTGCGGTGGTCCCTGCGGCCACCAGCTGGCCGGAGAAGAGAAGAGGCGGGTGGGCGGGCCGCAGGCGGCACCCCTCCCGCCCCGCGGCAGCACTTCCTGGGGCTGACAGAGGGGAGCGGCCACGGGCCACCGCTTCCTTGGCTGGCCAGAGAAAGGTTTTTTCGAGTACAAAGCCCTGGAAACTTTTTCTCTGAACAAAGGCTTCCGAGAACTTCATGTACAAGCCCCGCGGGTGCCCTGGTCGGAGGAGCCAAGCAGAGACTCATGCAGGGACGGGAAGCGGGAGGCATTTCCAACACAGGGGGTGGGGGTGGGGGGTCTCCTGCCGCCGGTGCTCAGCACCCTGCGGGACTGGGGCTCCGTCCGCTCGCACAGGCAGGGTGGAGACGCAGCCCCAGAGCTATGGGCCGCCCCGGCTCTCTCTGCACCTCGGCTCCAGAGCCAGGGTGGGCAGGGGAAGCAGAGGGTGGGGCCTCACCACCACCTGGGGGAGTCCCACTTGGCAGGGGGGTGGAGACCCACGCCCTCTGGCTGCTGAGGAACAGGCTCGTGGCCCCTGCCCTGGGGGCCCGGCAGTGCTGGCTCAGGATGGCCGTGACCTCTGGGTCAGACCTTAGTGTTTGGAAAGAGGCTGCCTGGGTGGCAGCCCAGACTCCGAGCTCCCTGCAGACGTTGGAAATGCCTCCATCTGTGCAGACAGGCGTGGGAAGTCTTACCTGACGCTGAGCTCACGCTGTGACGGCAACACAGGGAGACACAAGGGAACGGGGCGGCGTGTCAGTGACCAGCCGGCACAGCCTGCCGCCACCGTGTGCCTTGGCCAGCCAGGTCCCCCCGCCCAGGAACGAACACACCACACCCCGTGGAGGGGCATGCTCAGGCGGCCACCAGTCAGAGAAGGGGGCTGCATCCCTACCGGCTCTGACCTGGGCATCCCCCGGGCCCCTGTTTCTCAGGCCTCAGGCCCCTCAGCAGCCCAGGAGGGTGCCTGCCCAGAATGGTGGGCTGTGCCCTTGGCCAGCTCCGGGCACGTGACCTCAGGTCAGGGCACCTCTCCAATGGTGCCTGGGATGTGGGACTTAGTGCCAAAACTCAGGGGTCCCCCAGAAGGGTTGGGGGAAACGGGAGCATGCCCTTCCATCACGGCCCAGCTCAGGCTGAGGGCACTGCTGTGCCCCACACTCTGTCAGGGACACAGCTGCCTCTGGCCAGCACAAAGGACCGGGGGCTGGTGGGTGACAGGACTGACTGAGCAGGCCCGGGACACTGGAGGGCCAGCACACAGCAGGGGGCAGTAATGTGGGGCTGCAAGAGCAGATGGCTATGGGTGACGGCAGCAAGGGACAGAGGGTAGGGCTGAGGTGGGCTGCAGGGGCCTGGGACCCCGGCCCGGCCGGCTCACCTCCTCCAGCTGGCTGTGCATGTGCTGCACTATCAGATCGATGGCCACAGTGTTCCCACTCCCTGGGGCAAGAGAGGGTAGGAGGGTGACATGAGTGGTAGCACCCATCTCCCCAGCCCCGAAAGGCAGGCAAGTCTGTAGGCTCACCCCAGGGCACCACGATGTCCGCCACACGCATCGTGGGCTGGATATACTGGTCGAAGGCGGGCTTGACAAACTTGTTATACTGTTTGATGACACCCTCAATGTCGCGGCCCCGCTCACTGATGTCGCGGCGCAGCCTCCGTACCAGGCGGATGTCAGAGTCTGTGTCAACAAAGATCTTCATGTCCAGGAGCTGGATGGGGAGAGAGGCCTTGCTGAGCGGGACCCTAGCAGGGCCAGCACGGATGACACGGGGACCAGCTCCGGTCCACACGCTGGCCCAGGAGCAGACCAGGCCCACAGCACCCTGCAGGTCTGGCCGGCTGTGTGTGTGGTGTGGATGTGGGCATGTGGGGCATGTACATGCGTGTTGGGCCCTGTCTGCCAGGGGCTTCGTTCAAAGGGCATCTCACAGACACGGGCAGCTGAAGCAGAATGAGGCGGGCACCACGCATCTGGGCAGCTGCCACCCACGTGAGCCTATTCACGGAAGCTCACACGGCAGGGCCTGGGGGCCTGGTCCTTCCCCACCGCACCACCACACTGCAGTTCTCCGGTCTGGCGAGCCCAGGGTCTAGCCCCACCTCAGCAGGTTTGTGCAGGTGGGCCGGAGACTAAGTGCTGCTCTGGGGGCAGCAGGGCCCCCTGGGACTGAGCCTGAACCCACTGGCCTCTGAACTACCCCGAGGGACAAGGACACGCACAGGACTCCCTTGTGAGCCACAGCAAGGTGGTGCCGACCCCGGAGCAGAAGCCCTCTCTGCCCACGGCCCCTCACCAAGGGCGTCCCGTTCTCTCCATGTGGGTGGCAGGCCTCGCGGGTGCGCCTGACCCCCTTCCTCAGCCCACTCCCAGGAGAGGAGCTGCTCCGCACCCACACAGTGACAGCACCACTGGACAGGACAGGGCGAGCTGCCAGGCCTGCCTAGAGGAGGCTACTTTAAGATGAGTCCCACAGTGGGGCAGAGAGTTGGGCTGGGTGAGCACCCTGAGCAGAACTGTCAGCCTTGAGCCCACCCTCACCTCCAGCAGTGTCTGGTCAGCAAAGGCCATGATGCCCTCGAAGATGATGACATTTGCTCCATACAGCGTCTTCTGCAAAGGAACATGGAGCTGCTCAAACGGCCCCTGTGACCCAGCAGCCATGGGGCCATGCCCGCTATGCCTACCCAGTCCTTCTTGCGGCTGTGGGTGGTGAAGTCATAAATGGGCACCTTGACGCTTTTGCCCTGCTTCAGCTTCTTGAGGGTAGACACAATGAGATCAAAGTCGAAGGCGTCTGGGTGGTCGAAGTTGAAGTTGTTGTGGGCAGCCTGCTCCTGCTGCTGCGCAGTCAGCACCTGCTGGGCAGCACTGGGTGCGTAGGTCCAGAGACTCCACGCAGGGCAGGGGCTCCAGGCCCCCAGACACAGGGCCTCATGCACAGGGGGGCTCCTCACCTTGTAGAAGGAGTCCATGGACAACAAGACCACCCAGGGCACATCCAGGGCCTCAATGATCATTCTGGCCACGGTGGTCTTCCCGGAGGCACTGCCACCTCCCAGGCCTGTGGGCAGGAGTGGAGAGGCCCTGAGCAGGGCAGCTGGGCCTGCCCACAGAGGCCCTGGTGGAGCCCACCTGGCATGCCACGTACACCTTTCTGGCCTGTTCACCCACACCCACCGTGCTCACCGATGGCGAAGGCCTCCTTGGACTGTGTGCCATGCTCGTTGTACCAGGGCGGCCGCCCCGCCGTGTAGATGGTGCGCTTGCTGGTGCGCAGCAGGGGCGGTTCAGACTTGCACTGGCTAGTGCTGCGCTTTCGGGGTGAGCGCCTGGCGCCCACAGAGGGCAGGAGCCTGTCCAGGGACTCTGCGTTGCTGCTGAAGAGGACAGGCTTCTTGGGCCCAAGGCCACCCCACACCGGGCCCGGCATGGCCGGTCCAGGGGATGCCCCCCATGCAGACATGCGGCATGCCTAGGGTAGGCGGACTGGGGTGGGGACCAGGGAGCTGCCTGAAGCCCACCATCACAGGGCTTATGGCCTTGGGCTATCACTGCCCACACAGGTTCGTAGGGAAAGCCCATGGCAGGGGCCAGGGGGCAGAGGGGTGAGTGCGATCCTGGCCTTACTCCTCCTTCCCTGAGAACTGGGAATCACCTGGACTGGGCAGGGCCCCTGTGCCCCCAGGAGATGAGAGGTGGGCAGACCAAGAACAGTCAAGACCCCATCAAGGGCTGTGTCTCCCTGGGACGCTGTCCGGGCAGCCCTCGTTTTGTGGGATCCAGTCCCTACCATGGAGCAGCGTGGGGTGATGCACATACTGGCTCGGAAATGAGACCCACGGGGAAGCGCCGCTTCCGCCCTCCAGCACCCCTTGTGTCAGCTTGGTTTATGTTCCAAAGGCTCACAGTGTGACTGTAGACAGGGGCAGACCTAGGGAGACTCAGTCTGGCAGAGCAGCCCAGCTGGGAGGTAGTGGCTGCCTGCTGCCTGCTCAGTCTTGCTGAGAGCCTGGGGCCAGCACCGGCTGGGAAAGACAGAGAGCTGGCACAGGAGGGCCACCGCGTACGTGCACCGCACAGCTCCTCGCAGGCTGCTGCCCGCAGCATGGATTGGGAGCCCGTGGTCTGAAATCCCAGAGATGGAATACTGCTCGGAATGCGGGCAGGAGAGCCCAAGGAGGGCACAGACACAGAAGTGTCCTTGAAGTGTGGTCAGGTGAGAAAGCAAACTGCAATGTGATCCATTTATATAAAAACCAGCAGATGAGGCTGCTCACCCCGACATCCCTCCACATTAGGTGTGTGTGAGATGTGTGCACAGAAAAAGCTAGAATCACACGTGCCAAGTTCGCCCTGGGTGCCAAGATGTGAGGCTTTTGCCACAGTGAATGTCTTACAAGCTGTGCCTCTTTGTTACCAAAACCAAACCAAGCCATGGTCTGTCCCTGAAATCTGTTGTCCTGTCACCATTTCAACCCACAGGACAAGGGCACGGGGTGCTAGGAACCCAGATTCAGGCAAGTGCCCCAGGAGGGCACTGCCAGCTTGCCCAGGGACAAGATCAGCACCTTGCTGCCCCCAGGACAGCCCGAGCACTCCAGCTGCAGAACACTGGTGTTTCCAGCTGTTTGTCCTCCAGAGCACCGGTGTTGCTGGGAGCCAGCAGGGTGGTGTCTGCGGGGTGGGGACTGTGCAGGGAATTAGCTGAGGCCTAACACATGACAAGTCCCATCAGCAGGGCTCAAGGTCCCAAGCTGCCCACAGAAAAGCTGCCCACGGCACCCACAGGGGACACGCAGCCCCCCCTGGGGGACAGGGAACACGGGCTGCTGCGGCTGCTCTGCCATCAGGACGGCAAGGGGTGAGCCCTGGGACTCGTTAGCAGGCTGTGCCCAGCATCGCTCCGCAGCTCTGGGGACAGCAATTACCCAGCACATTCTACTTCAGAGCTGGGTGCCAACGCCCACAGCAGTGCACCAAGATGACCGGGGCTGAGGCAGGCCTGGGGCTGGCCACAGCACTGCTGCCCGTCAGCATGTGTGGGGGACCTGGCTCGGCGTGGACGAGCTGCCCACAGATGCCGCCCACATTCATGACCACCAAGCAGGAGATGGGTGCAGCAGGCACAAGCAGTGACACTCCACTCACAGTGAGCCCGTGGCCCCTGGCACACCCTGAGGGGGCTGATGGCCCACAGCTGGGCAAAGAACTAAGTCCAAGCCAGCCCCTCCCCTCTGTGCCCCTACTCCGGGAGGAAATTCCGACACAGACCACCTGATCCGCAAAGGGGCTGGGCTCTGTCACCCTAAGGAGCGCGCCTTCATGCACCAGCACTGAGCGTGCTCACACATCTAGGACCATTCTCGCCGCCCCAGGACAGCGGAGGCCTGCGGCTGCTGCTGCTCTCAACCCCCCTGCCTCTCACCCCGCTGTGGTGGCCTGGCCCCTGGCGCCGGAGCCCTTGGGCTCCTACCTGCGACTGTTCCTCATCCTACCGGGACAGCCTGGGGCAAGCAAATTCCTAGGCACAAGTGCCCACGTGATGAGAAGAGTCAAAAGTAGGTCAGAATGACTCTGCCAGAAGCCTGCCCCACCTTGGTTTGCACTGGGCCTGAATGACATCAAGCTGGGTCTGCAGCCCAGCCCCACTCCGCAGCCTTCTCCTCTCTGGGACCCAGGGACAGAGCCCTGCTGTGCCGTCAGAGCAAGCCTCACGCCTTTCTCACAGCAGTACCACCTTCAAGATGGGAAAGTTACACAACCTCATTTCTGCATTCACAGAGGGACAGCGTGTGCCTGGCTACAATGACAAAAGGTAATTTCAGCCCAAAGGATTATGAAGCACAATGGACACAGACCCTCCTGTGACTGACAGCCCCAAGCAAAACCAGCGTCTGAGGTCAGCAGGCCGTGCCTGGCCCCCCAAAAGCTCCTGTCCCGCCTGTTACCAGATGTCCTCACAAGACACACCCTGCACAGGGCCGCGGGTGGCCAAGACGCAGTGAAGGCAGGTCTCCTCACCACGGCTGCAGGAGGCACCAGGCCTGTCACTCACCTGCCTTCTGCTCCAAGGGCCCAGCACCCCGAGATCCTGATGTCAGGGTAAGCTGGGGGACCGCTCCTGCTCATGGCTGGGACACGGAGGGCACCAGGACAGTGGGGTGATCCCAGGTGTGTCTAGGGCATCACCACACTACACTCAAGACCCACAGTGGCCCCCCAGGACAGTTCAGAGGCACCTGAATTGCCCCTCCATGGCTGGGTGCAACAGCACCTAAGGAGCTGGAGTGGGGTCCAACCCCTAGCTGGCAGAGGCCACCTGCTGGGGGCCCCAGGGACCCCTGTGCCGAGGGAACAGCACTCTCCACTAGCCTCAGAGGCTGAGGCTGAGGGTGCGGGTGTAAGAGGATCACCCGGCAGGCGTGAGCCCTGGCCTGATATTAATAGCGGTGACCCTGATGAAAAGAACAGCCTGTGACCTGGGCAGACCTCAGGCTGGCCCACAGCGCGAGCTGCCTGTCCTGTGCTCAGCTGGCATGTTGCAGGCCCCAGGCTTGCTGAGTACCACTGGAACCTGAGTACCACTCAGCACCCTGGAAAAGGCTCGATGCCCGGTCTGCCTGGGACTACAGAGCAACCCCTAACCCCCAGCAGGACAGGGCCCTGGGAGGTGTCTCTCGGCCTGCTGAATGTCAGTGCTGAGATGCGTGTCCCACTCTTGGCCCCAAGGTGCCTCCTAGAAGTATAAACAAACCTGAAACTCTACCCTCCCGGGCACCCAAGAATAACTGCCTGCCCCGCCCCCTCCACGGGTAGGCTCCAGCATGTCCCCCAAGGCAACCCAATGCTCAGAGTCCAAACAGGGCACAGCCACTCCCCAGCCTGGCGACAGGAGGAGGAGGAGCAGGCCCAGCCCCACCCACAGCAAGGGCGGGTCAGCCAAGTGCCTTCACTGAAGTTTGTAAAGGGATTTGCACCCATAGGTCTCTGGCCTCTGTCCCTCCTGTCCAGCTTTCCTCCTGACTATTTCCGACAACATGGAGACAGCTGGCTCTGGAGACAGGAGCTCAGGGACGAGAAAATCCCACGCAGGCTCACGCTCCTGAGAGCTGCTTCAGAGGCAGCCTGTCGTGACCACCCAGTGAGCAAGGGTATGTCTACCCCCTGCAGAGGCACCCCGGGGCAGGACTGACCTGGCTTTACCCATCCCTCCTGACTGCAGCCTGGGCAGATAAGCAGATGTCAGCCTGCGCTCAGGGAGGCTGGAGTTGCCCGGGACAGGGCCTCCGCGCATACCTGACACCCTGCCCAGGTTACTGGGTGAGTAAAATGAGGCCAGGAGGGAGAAGGAACTAACTGGTCTACTGGGGCCTGGCCCTGGGGGGCCCCAGCTCAGCTCGGAAACAGAAGCATCAGGGCAGACGGAGTTGTGGGGCCAGGAAAGCTGTAGCCCTAGGAGGGCTAAAACTGGCCCCAGGGACTTGTACTGCCCAGGCCTCACCACCCTGCAATCCCCCTGCAGGACCCTCTCCTTCCCACTGATCTGGATGGGTCCAGCCAGCCTTCTCGGACTGCAGTCTCCACCTGGACTGCACCAAGAAACACAACCACAAGGTGCTTATCCATTGCTGAAAGAGTCCCAATCCCTGTCCACATGGGGCTGACCCTCTAGAAGGACAAACAGATAAGAAACAGTGCCACAGTAGACAGACCACTCCAATGTGGCCACAATGACATGGAAGGAGAGCTGGAGTGGTGGTAAAGAGAGGGAGTCTGCTTGGGGCCACCTGCACATATGCCTAGATGCCAGCTCTGGGGCTCCTGGGAGCAGGGCCATGTGGGGACTCTGAGGGCACGCAGGTGAGGAACAGCACAAAGGAGGCCCTCAGGGCACCTGCAACAGCGAGTAACAGGTGAAGAGATGTATGCCTGTGAAGTCGAGAGGCAGACCCTGTAGGCCTCTGGAGAGGGGCCCTGGGGTCCACGCTTCCTGCTCAAAGCTCCTGGCTCCTCTCCTCTGTCCCCTGGGGACCACACTGGGGGAGGACCTCTGCCTCCCTGGGCACCACGAGGGGCCTGTGCACTGGGCAGGGCCCAAGAATAGCCTGCCACCAATCTGTGTCTTCAGGGAGTGCTTTTCTCAAGAGTTCATCTGAATTTGCCCTCTGTGACCTTGGACTAATTCAAAGATCCTTTGGGACCAGCAGGTGTCACAGCCTCAGGTCCTACTATCACCCTGTGCCAGGTTGTTGGTCACCACTCACTGGGAGAGTTAGCCTGGAAGGACACAAGCTGCTCCTTCAGACAAAAGGCAGCCTCTTCCTCTAAGCGGCTTCTGGAGGAGAGGGATCATTGCCGGGCACCCCTCTCCCCAATTCCTCCCCCTGCGAATTACGTGGCTGGCTGCACCCAGACCCCACTGGAGGAGTCTCCGCACACACACTGCGGCCTCCGGAGGACCACCGGATCCTGAGGAGGGCGCACGGACTTGAACCAAGGTTTCCTTTGGCCCCTGCATCCTGCGCCCTCCGCTGCGCTCTCCCCAGGAGACAGTTCAGACCCGGAAGTGAGGAGCCAGCCCTCCCGCCAGTGCGAGGGGCAGACCCGGGGCGCTGCCCGGCCACGCCCCCTGGTGGCCCTAGCCCTGGAGGCACTGAGCAGCGAGGGAGCCCCTTTCCTCTAGGCCGTTCCGTCTTCCCGGACAGGGTGACAGAATGGCTCCCCCCGCCCTGCAACCTCCCCAACTTCCCCTCTTCAAATCCCCACAGAACCTTGGAGGTCGCCCACACCAGGCGGGCAGCAGGAAAGCACGGTGCACCACCCCAGCCCCAAAACCACGACCCCTGGAGCCTTGAGTGGGGCAGGGGTAGAGGGCCTGAGTCCGTGCTGATCGCAGAACAAACCGAACCCCTCGGAGCTCCAGGCAGGCACACTCCAGCCTGGCGCCAAGGGCCCGTCCACTTGGGGCTGAAACCCAGGTCAACCTTAAGGTGCAGCCTCCGCTCCACCTGCCGGGCCTCCAACTCGGCGCCCACGCACGGAGGGCCCCACGCAGGCCCTGCCCGCGAGCCCGTTCCCGCCGGCCGGCCGGGCTAGGGCAGCCTCACCGCCGGGTTCAGCTCCGCCCCGCGACTGCCTAGGCGGCTTTGGGGCCCAAGCGCCCGCGCCGCAGACCCTCCGCGGGGCGTCCCCTCCCACAGAGGACGCGAGGGGGCGTGCGCGGCCCCAGCCCGCGCTCGGCGCGCCGCGCCTACCGGTCCTCCCGCGCGGTCTCGCTTTTCCCCCCCGGCCGGTCGAGCCTGTCTCCGGTCGCAGGGGGCGACGGCGACGCGCGGGGAACGGCGGTGGAGGCTGGGGGCGCCGCCATGGAGCTCCAAAGCCGCTCTGCGGACCGCAGGCCGGGGCTGGCCGCACGGGCCGCCGGTAGCTGTAGTTCCGGGCCCCGCGCCGCACGGTGCTCGGCGAGCCCCCCCCGCCGAACTACAAGTCCCACAAGGCTGTGCAAACCGGACTGCTGGGACTCGTAGTTCGGCTGACCCGCCACGTGCGGGACGTCGTCCGCGCTCGGAAGGACCCCGCCCCGCGTTTTAACACAAACTCAGCCGCACAAAGCCCCTGGAAAAAAAATCAATAAACATTTATTTGATACAGTCATTTTTAATACATACAGTTGAAGATCCGCCCCCGCGCCACTAGGGCCAGGGGACGAGAACGAGGACCGGGGACAAATGGTCACAAAGCGGGCAGGGCCCGAGCTCACCTCAAAACATTTTGCAAATAAACACTTTGTAGATAGAATATATATGTATATATATGGTTACAAGTGATAGCTGGAACCTCTCTTTCAAAATGCACTTATGTACGGAGAACTGGCATTAAAAAACCCAAACCATGAAACCCAAAGTACGGGACGTGTGGCTGCCAGGCTGGAGGTGCTGGCCAGCCCCCCTGAAACTCACGCCTCCAGGGCAAGCCGCCTGGGCCCACCGGGCGGGGACACACGGGAACAGCCCTCCCCGCTGCGGGCCAGAGTACACCCATTCTTTCCCTTCTGATTTAGAGGGATAGGAGGGGGATTACCGCCGGGACACCCATCACACCAGGGCACACCCTCATCTGCCTCTGCAAGTAAAGTGCATCCTATTTTTGTATGAAGTGTCAGCCCATTGAGTTGGCCCTTTCCTGTTCTCAGGCCAAAGGAGGTGGGCTGGGCCAGAGGTAGATCTTCAGAAAGGGACCCAGAATTGTGTCCTGGGCTTGGGTCTCAGGCAGGGTCCATGCCCACGACAAGGTGGGGAGGAGGGCTGCCACTTGGTCCCTCTTGCTGAAGGTGTCAATCAAAGCCAGGTGGTTACCGGGCTTCATTCCTGCCAGAGTGGGTGGGCAGATCCCACTGAGCCAACCAGGGCTCTGCTAGCTTCGGAGGAGCTCTGCAGCCCGGCTTGCCATCACTACTCACCAGTCAACGCATAGGAAGCAGGGGGAGAAGAAGGGAGAGAGGGGGTCCAACCCAATAGCCACTTTTGGCAGCAGCCCCCATGCCTACTTTAAAGATACAGAAGGGGGTTAAAGTGCTAAACATCAAGTTACCCAGGACCCCATCTCTTCCTACAGATCTAGGCGGGGTTCTCACACCAGGGACCATCTATGGACTTTTGGGGGTGACCTGGAAACTCACCCCACAGCAAAAACCAGCCCACTACTCCCCAAGGGCCAAGTACCTGAGAGGCTGGGGTGGGTGCCTATCCCCAGCAGAGGTGTTGAGGTCCAACCTCCTCCAACCATTGGTGACAAGGACAAAGTGCACCTGGGGCTCCTGCCAGCACCTGCTCCCCACCTCCTGAGGCCGTCCCTGCAGCAGCTGCCTGGCCCTACCCCTTCCTCCATCAGCTGTACACCACAGTGACACCCAGGAACACAGGAAAGACAGCCCTCCTGCCCAAAGGCCTGCCATGCTGCCCGCTTTGGCCTTTGACACTGGATCACACCCACTGCCCACGCCTCCACCTTCGATCAGATCAAGGTGTGAGGCGAGGGGAGCACCTATCTCCACAGCCCCTCCCTAGGACATCAGGCCATTGGCTGCCCCGGGTCAGAGCCTTTTGCTCAATAGAAGCAGCTAGAGACAGGCAGTGTGGCGAACTGGCCCCAAAGTTCCCCTGGAACCCGTCTCCCTGCCGCAGGTGGGGGAGAACTGAGCCCAGCTTGGAGCCCTCCTCTCCAGGGACTGCATGAGGACAGGAGCTGGGGGGCAGAGGGGTGCCCAGTAAGCACTGCCTCCCTGAGCAGGGAAGGGACCCCAGCCCAGCCCCTAGATCCACCGTCGGCACCAGGAAACCCTTAGCACCAGAATGTCAGATTGTTGTGAATTTTTGTATAAAAAAACAGAATAAAAAAAAGATTGTTACTTGTCACAGCAAGAAGACTGGCACCCACTACACCCAGGAGACACACGCACACGGGCAAATATCAAAATTCACATCGTCTGGGACCACCAAGGCCAAGCCCTCAGCCCACCCCCACCCCCCAGGGGAACATGGCCTGTCTGAGCCCAGTGAGTCTGAGCACCCCTGCCTCCCTGCAAAATCACAGCTGGAAGGCAGGGCCCAGGGAAGAGGCCAGAGGCCATATGGCCACCTCCTCTGGGGGCTCTGGACTCCAGCCTGACCCTTGCCCAACCTTCTGACCTAGCTGTCCTCTGGGCCCCAAAAGGAGCCAAGACAGAGCCGAGGAGACAATACCAGACCACTGTGACCTTGGCCAAGCCCCCTCCCTGGCCTTCAGTGCTTGTATCAAAAGACCACACAACCAGAAATGGAGAAGCAGGTAAAAAAGAGGGGAAGGGGCTTCCTGCGGGGGCTTGACCACAGGCCAACCGAGACCGGAAGACAGGAGCCTGTTTCCTGCAGTGTCTCTCCTCAGAGCAAGGCCTCAGCTGGCCACCCAACAGGCCCCAGGTCCACACCACAGCCCAAGCTAGCCCACTGCTAACCAACCAGGCTGCCCTGACCTAGGCAAGGAGTTTGCAAAGCCAGAGCTTAGAGGCAGAGCATGCCCTGTGTGGCCCCTGGGCCCCAAGCCCCTGCTTCTGCAGCCCTGCGGGTGGGAAGAGCAGAGCACCTTCCTACCCCAAGCAGGGGGCACCACTGGGGACAGCAGAGGGCCCTGTCAGCAGGGCCGCCACCTCTACCATGACAAGCACGGGCCGGTGGGGCAGGGGGGTGGGCCCAAGCACAGCAGAGGTCGCAGAGGCAGGGAGGGAGGGCCAGGAGAGGTAGAGAACAGAAGCAGAGAGACCAGAGGCGAGAGGACAGGGAGGCCAGGGGCTGTCAGGTCAGCATGGTGGCAGTCAGACTCAGGGCCTGTCCTGGGAGGTAGCTGGGGGTGCTGAGTTCCAGTGTCGGGTAGAGGCAAGGCTGTCAGGTGCCCTCATCAGCCCAGAACCATGGGTTACCAGGGAACCCCGAGCCTTGGGCCTGAGGAAGCAGACAGGGCACAGAGCTGCATGGCAAGGGCCCCAAGGCCATCTGCCTGCTCTGCCCACCCCCGAGGCCCAGAGGCCCAGGCTGAAGATGCTCTTCCTGCTCATCTAGGGCCCTGGACTCTGCCAGGCCCACGGGTGCCCCCCCTTCATGCTACTGCACTACTGTAGCCACCGGCCCTCCCGGGTGTGCTCTGCGGCAGCCTGCCCTGGGGAAGGGCCACCTTCAGTCAGGGAGAAGGGCCGGCTGTCCCCACTGGGCAGATGGCTAGGCAGGGTGGGGGCTGGAGAACTGGAGAGGAGGCGGTCCTGAAGCTAGCTCGCCCACCCTGGACGGACAGGGGATTGGCGGCCAGAGTGGGGGCCGGGCCGGGCCCCACCCGCCTGCCAGCCACCTCGCTCACTTCTCAGCTGCCCTGCTGGCTCCCACCTTCCGGCTGGCGGAGCCCCGGGCCCCCTTGTCTCTGCCTCCTGGGGGCCAGTCGTCCCGGCGTGGGGGCATCTTGAGCGTGGGCTCCTCAGGAGGCCTCTCCTTGGGCTTGCGGCCACGCTTCTTCCCACCTGACAGACTTTTCTTCTCCTCCTTCTTGGGCACCAGTGAAGCCTGGATCCTGTGTTTGGGAGGTGGGTCTGCCGAGGTACGGAACCAGTTCTGGAGACAGAAAAGCTGTGATGGGCCCCGGGGAAGGACACCCAGCATGGGGCTCGGTGAGCTCCTGTGCCGAGGCTGGCAGCCCGTGGGGGGGCTCTGCTCGGGGCGTTGGAAAAAGCAGCGCCCAAGGTCACCCCTCTTCTGGGGAAGCCAGCAGCAGCTTTGAAGAGAAACTGCCAGACTTTCCAACATTGGCCACGTGCTCACGCAAATGCCACACAAGCCATCACCCCTGCCACCCCCCTACCCCCCAAGCCCAGTCGCCTCCGTGGCCAGCCTGTGCAGCTGCGGGCCCAGCAGGCCCCTCGCACTGGGCCCAGCCCGCCCCACCTCTGCATGGGTCTTGAGGATGTGGTACTTGACGCCGCTTTCGGAGCCAAACTCTTTCGGACACAGCAGGCAGCGGTACTTCCCCACCAGGTGGTCTCCCTGCAAGGCATGGGCAGTCCAGCCCAAGTTGGCCCCCACCCCAACCGTGGAGGACTGGAAGAGCCCAGATCCACCCAGGACCCTCCACCCACGTGACCAGAGTCAGGGCAACCACAGCTTATATGGATGGGTGCCCGATGGGTGGGCTTCGGGACTGCTGCTGGGGAGGGGAGGACGGGCGGAGGCAGCGTCCTGGAGAAGGGTCACAGCCCTCTGTGGGGGGCCCCTCACCCTAAGCCCAGGTCAGCATGCCCACTTGTTAACCATGCAGACAAGGAGCCCCTGCAGATAGGACAACTTGGGACTGACAATTGAGGGCTAAGGCAGGGGCCTGGCCAAGCATCCTGGGCTGGGCTGGCCAACAGGCACCTGCCAGTCCCTGGGCTCACGGAAGGGGCTGTCCTGTGGAGGTGGGGTCATACACCCAACGTGTGGGGGCCCTTGGGGAGTAGCTGGGAGCTCCAAGCACCCTCCCCACCATGAGGGCAGGCCTGGGAACTAACCTTACTGCAGCTGGCAAGATGGGCCTTGAGGCCTGACACACTGGAGTAGATGGCTTCACAGCACTGGGGATAGGAGGCAACCATGGGGGAGGGCCTCCGAAGGGCGCCTGCACATGATGTGTACCCCGTACCCCAGCCCAGGGGATCTGGATTCTCTCTGGGACAAGTGGGGGCTTTTGACCCCAGAGTCTTGGGGTGTGGGCAGGCTAGGCCTTTAGGGCTGAGGTCAAGGCCTCTCTGCTAATGGAGTTTGACTGAGGACCCTGCAGGGCTCCAAGGATCCCTACCTAAACAGGTAGGCTGGTCCCTCGGAGGGCTTGCACCCAGGACCACAACTGGACTCTCTGTCCCTGGGTCCCAGTGTCCCCACACACCCCCACTAGCCTGCCCAGCTCACATCATTGGGGCAGTTGACGTGGCCTTTCTCCTTGACTTCATTCTTCCAGGCCTCCAGCAGCTGGGGGTTGAGTGTGGGAAGACCTGGCCGGGTGTAGTTGAGCTGTAAAAATAGGCAAGCGTGGGGTGAGTCTAAGGGCCCATGTTAGGATGCTACAGAGCAGCTTGACCAGAGCTGACCCAGACAGACGGCCGTTCTGAGAAGGCCCTCCACTGCGGCCTCCATGAGCAGCAGATTTGAACCTCAGGAGGCTAGCAGAAAGCCCAAGTCAAGGGGTGTCCATCACAGGGGACCCCAAGCTTAGGCATGACCTGCTCAGAAACCCGGGGCCGGAGCCTTGGCAGAGCTCACCCGTGCGGTCTCGGGCACCAAGTCATCCTTCATCCGCCGCTTGGTCCAGTCCCGGGCCAGCTCATCTTCTGCAATCTCCTGCAGGTGGAACACAGCCACCTGGGCCGATGTGCGGCGGATGCGGCCGCTAGGGGTCCGCTCGATGCCCGGCAGATCCTCAGCCTCCGAGGGCTTGTCCTCGGGCTCTTCAGGGGGCTGCAGGGCAGCAGGCCAGGCTAAGCAACTGGAGCCAGGTGTGGGGACCCAGGGGCATGTGCCACGGGTAGGGAACGCGTGAGCAAGAGTGCTGGGGACACAGAGGCGCCCCGGTCCCAGGCTCACACCCCCAGTGCACACGCCCACAGGAAGGAAGGGGAGAGCACACATGCAGCAGGCAGCATATGGGCACAAGTGCTCACAGCCCAAGGGCAGGCAGGACCCGGCTGTAGGCTGCTCACCGGAGCTGCATGCTCCGATCGCACGTGGTAGTCATGGCCGGCTTTGGAGCGGTAGGTCTTGCCGCAGTGGGTGCAGGGGAAGGAGGGGCTGTCCACCTCGCAGGGCGGCTTCCCACAGCGTCGCTGGTGGTACTGGTAGCCCATGAGGCTGGAGAAGGCAGCCCCGCACCCCTGGGGGTCAGGTGCCGAGTAAGTGGCCGGCAAAGGGCCATGCCCTGCCCCGCACACGTGCTGCCCATCTGGGCGGCCCCACTGACCTCCTGGGGACAGCGCAGCCTCCCCATCTGCTTCAGCACCTTGCGCAGCCGCTCCCGCTCCTCCTGCTCACTCCCCTCCGAGGCCTCATCAGAGGGCTGGGGGGCAGGCCCAGCCTCAGTGCCCCACCACCACAAGGCTCCTGCCCCTGCCCAGGGGTCAGGGCCACGGCTGTCCAAGGTCGGGCATGGGAGCCACTAAGCTCTGCCAAGGTGTGGTGATGAAAGGTCATGGTCAGGGCTGGGCAGGTGGGATGGGTGGAGTGGGAGGCCGATGGCCAGGGGTCAGGGCCAGCTGGCAGTCGGGCCCAGGGGCATACCTTGGCACTGTGCTCGGCCATGGTATGGTAGTTGAGGCCAGCCTTGGACTTGAACTGTTTCCGGCAGTGCTGGCATTTGAGCGCGTCCTGCAGCTGCAGACCCAGCCCCATCAGAAACTGGCCAAGGGGCACCTGCCCTCCTGGCACCTCTGGGGCTGTCTTACCTTCTGACAAACCTCCATGTGCTTCTTGAGCCCCACAAGGGTCTTCCGGGTGACCACACTGCAGGTGGGGCAGACAGCCTCCCCCCGTTCATGGATGACCCGCTGCCACTGCTCCTCGGGGACACCTGCAGGGTGGGGCCATGGCCTCAGAGGCTGCCGGGGCTCCTGGAAGCCCTGGACACCAAGCACAGAGCCCAGAGTCTATGCTCAGCCTCCCATCCCTATGGTTCAGGGTCCGCCCCACAGTCAAGACCTGGAGACAGGTGGGCCACAGGGGCCGGCACCTCCTTGGTGACAGTGCTGGTGGGGGCCGGCACCTTCTTCCGCATGTCCTCGGGGCCTGGCCCCTCCTGCTTCTTGGAGCGGTGGATGCGGGATTTGTCCTCCGCTTTGGCCAGGCCTGTATGCACACATGGGTGGGGTGGGGGTGGGCTCCAAAGGGGGCACACCTACGCATACACTCAGCCCCGCAGGTGCCCAGCTGGCCAGGCCATCACCTTTGAGTCCAAAGGTCCCTGAGATGGACGGCTGCTCCCCCGTAAACTTCTTGGGTGTTTTCTGTTTCCTTCCTGACTCGGGGGAGAGAAAATGGGCAGCCAAGATTCTGGTCAAATAACTGTCAAGAGGCCAGAGCCAGCTGGCCACTAGCCCCACCCTGGCCACTGCCCCCCCGCTCTCGCCTTACTATGCTTTGTGCGCTCTGCGCCCTCCTCAGGTGGGGATGTGGAGCCTGTGGTCCTCGGCGCCTCCTTGCCCCCCAGGGGCCTGCTGCCCAGAGAGAGGGAGCTGCTGCCAGGGTCTGTGCTCAGCGGAAAGGCCAAGTTGTGGCTCGCCCTGGGCGAGCCATAGCCCCCACTCTCTGGCCTGGCCTGCTTAGATGGGACAGGGCCAGCATCCAAGCCGTCTGCAGTCCTGCGGGGAACAGGGGGTCAGGAGGTAGGAGGCCCCTTCGGGCCCTATGGTCCCCACACTGAGGCCAGGCAAGCACCCCGACCCCGACCGGGAAGGAGTCCCCATACCTTTTCTTGCTGCTGCCCCTCCCGGTGGCACGAGCTTTGTTCTCAGGCGGGGTGAGCAGCACCGCTGTGCAGGGAGGCGTGTGTCTGCTGATGGTGGTGGGCCTGCTCACCGTCACTGGCTTCGTGACAGGCATGAGCTTTGTCATCGGCATTGGTCTGCTGATGGTCACTGGCTTAGCAACCGGCACAGGCTTGCTAACTGGCACTGGTTTGTTGACTGTCACTGGCTTGGTGACGGGAACAGGTCTGGTGACTGGCAGAGACTTGGTAACTGGCACTGGCTTGTTGACCGGCACAGGCCTGGTGACGGTGACAGGCTTGTTGACCGGGACAGGCCTGGTGACTGTGACAGGCCTGGTGATAGTGACAGGCTTGGTAACCGAGACAGGCTTGGTAACGGTGACAGGCTTGGTGACTGGCACAGGCTTGGTGACTGGCACAGGCCTGGTGACTGTCACAGGCCTGCTGATGCCAATGGGTTTGCTGACACCCACGGGTTTGCCGATAGTGACAGGTTTGCTCACTCCAATGGGCTTGCTGACTCCAACAGGCCTGCTGATGGTGACCGGCCGGCTGACCGGCCCAGGCTTGGGGGCAGGCAGGGGTCGGTCCATGTGGTTCCAAATCCGGTGTTTCTCTAGCTGCGTCTTAGAGGTGAACGCAGCCTCACAGAAGGGGCAGGGGTAGGTCAGCCTTTCTGAGATGGCACCCTGGGGGATAAGGAGGCATGGGATGGGCTGCCTGGCCTCTGCCCAGACATCCTGGGCCAACGGCTGGGGCAGGGCAAGCCCCAGCCTCCTCTTCCCTGGCCCCCAGCCCCTTACCCCTTGGCACCGCTGGTAATGGTACTTGAGCCCGTAGATGCTAGGGAACTCCAGCCAGCACCCCGAGTTTGGACACTTCACCCTCGAGTGAGCCTTGAATTCATCTTTCCACTGGTTCATCAGGGAGAGCTGGCGTGGGAAAGGCCGGGGCGCTGACCCCATACCTGGGCCTCTGCCAACCCCGACAAAGTGCCCTTCCCAGCCTACAGGACAGACCAGCTGCAAGAGCCCTTCAACCTTGGGACCACAGCGGGATGCAAGCCACCCTGAGCAGTGGCAGTGCTCTGGGCCGCTCCTAAGAGTCCCACAGATGTCGTCCCATAGGCCCTAGGCAGTACCCTGAGTCCCAGAAACACAGACCGGCCATAACACAGGCTGAGGGCTTGGTGCTGGGTGTGTGGAAGGCAGGCAGAGGCAGACCCCAGCATGAGCCCCACCCCAGCCCTCAAGGAGCTCACGGGAATGTCTCGGAGGGCCTGGTTCTCAGCTTTTGGACGTCCCTTTTTCTTCCCTTCTGTCCTGTCGCTGGTTGGACTTCCAGGGTCAAAGCAGAGGGGGGCCTGGCTAGGCACCGTCTGCCCACCCCGGACCACCGGCATCCCTGTGGCACACAATATGCCCAGGCTTGGAGGCTGCGCTCCTTGCAGCCTCACATTGCCACCCGGGGGCCTGGTCAGGCCTAGAGTGAGTCCCATCTGCCCCACTCTGTGGCAATGGGGGCAGGAGCCTGTGGTCAGTTAGGACAAGAATCAAGGATCTGGGCTGCCCCCAGCATGGGAAGGCTCTCAGGAGCCCAGGTGGCCTGGCCAGAAACTCAGGAGCTGGATGTCTGGGGAGGCGCCCACACCCCGCACTGGCTGCCCATGCCCGCCTGGAGTTGATCTTGGCCTGACCCCTCTTACCCGGCTTTGGTGGGTCATGTAGCACAGGAAGCCGGACCTCGTTCCGGCTGCTATCCTTCCCAGATCCACTCTTGCTGGACCCTGGGATCCGGCGGCCTCCTCCGACACAGAAAGGATCAGTCATCTCCGCAGAACAAGTGGACAGACCTGTAAGGCCCACCAGGTCCAACTCAGGACTTAGAGTGGGCTGCCCTCAAGCCCCACCCCCAGACAGGTCCAGGGAAGGAGAGCCTGCCCACAGGTGCATTTGGCCACTAGGGGAAGTAGGTGATGGGGCCTTCCGGTTTAGGGGAGGGCTGCCCAGCCGAGGTTTCCAAGATGACCCAGGAAACACTTGGAAGACACGCTTGGAAGGATCTAACCCTGTCGTGAGACCCTCACCGGCTCACAGAGGCTCCAGAGTGTGCAGAGAATCACACACCTCACATGGGGGGCTGGGCTGGGGCAGCCCCAGGAGAGGTGGAGTGGTTGTAAGGGAAGCCTCTCCCAGGGACAATTATGACAGCAGTATGGATGCTGGCTCACAGGCTGCCCTAGACCAACACCTCAGGACACCTCCCTGCACAGTCCTGTGCAGGCCCTAAACAATGCCACCCTACCTGGCAGGCATCCCTAGGTCCTTCTCCCCAGGACACAGATGGAAGACAGCCAAGGTAGGCACTGAAGGCCCCTAGCCTGCTCCGAAAATGCAGGTGCCTCCCCTCCCCCCTGGGAGGCAGACCAAGGACCCTGCAGCACCTGGTTGTGGTCCCTGTGCCCAGATGAGCCACCCTACCTGATCATCTTCCTGGCCTTGTCCCAGCCAAGGCCACTCCACTCATGCTGGGCCCCTCAGCCACCTTCTGCGTGGCCGACCCCCTCCTCCCCTCTGCACTCAAGAGCCTCCCTGCCCCCCACCTGCAGGCCCACTCCACTGACCACCAGCCACAGGGAATACCCTGCTGCCTGACACTGCGCCTCTGTGGGACCCCACACCCTGAGAGCTGGGGGCATTCTGAGCTCAGTCCTGTTGGGTCCTCCCATGGGTGCACTCAAGGCCACAGAAGGTGCGGGTTGTGTGGGCTGTGACCCCTCCCCTAGTAGTTTTTAATTAATTTAAATCAGAGAAGATGGGAAGGGGCTGCTATGCAAAGGAGGGCCCAGAGGCCACCTAGGCAGGCTGTGGTCAAAGGTCAGGACAGTCACTGCAAATGGCCAAGAGGTACCCATATCCTGGTCCTGGAGGGAGTGCTGGCTGGTCTTGATGGGTCTAAACAAAGTTCTCTGGAAGTCCTCGCACAGCAACTTCCCAAGGAGACATGCACACATCAGTCACCACAGCCCTGTGAGCCTGCGGTGCTGGTGCCTGCTGGGACCCTTTCCAGTGTTTCTCCAGCTTACGTGGAGAATTCGGAGCTGGGGGGGCCTCAGGCCAGGGCTGACCTAGAAGGCAGACACCCTCCTTCCATCCAGGGCCGGTGATTCGCACATCGAGAGGAGAAAGGACTTCCATGCTCCTAGAGGGCCCAGCAGGGTGGCAGAAGTGGGACCCTCTCGGGGGAGGCGACGCTGGCAGCGGGACCGCCACGGCGGCCCGGCCCGGAACCCCGCACCGGTTCAGAGGCGGATGAGGCCGGCGGGGGGCCGCACACCTGGACGCCGGCCTTGCCACCCACCTGTCACCTGCGGCCGGGGCGCGGGCAGGCCTGGCCCCCG